ATTCAACGTATTAGCTACTTGTCAACAATATGGTTACCGTGCAATCAAATCATTTCATCAACTATTATCTTATCAAGGTTTGAAATATAAAAATAATATCAACTTCAAATATACTACTTTGATATGTTCGTATTCGGTAATCAAACTAGCGACTTAATAAAATCGAACTTGAGCACCAACTCAATTCCACTACGGCTACAGTTTTGCGGTCGTTGTCATTTACCGAATTGCTAAGCTGATAAATCTCTTGTACCAAAGAGTGATGAATCATATATCAATCCATCATAGCCATAGTGTACTTCTCAATATAGCCCATCACTCTTGTACTGATAACCCTAAATAGGACTACGTTAGGCCAGCATCAAACTACACCCATATTTACACACAATGCTCTGGTGATCTCAAGTCTAAAGATCATATGCACCACCATCCATTAGAGGATATATTCCCTAGATACTAGGGTTACCATAATCCTTTGGTGGATCTATCCAGTGAACTTGTCAATTGCAAGCACCTATGCGTTGCACCAAGTTGTCACCAAACAACTTCAACATGTAAGATCTATTACTATCTTTTGATAGAGTCGTTCAACGCTATGATAGCTTTACTGCATTATTCTATACCCTTACTTTAGGATAATACTGTGACGACGAACGATTTTTAGAATGGTCATCTAATATGATCATAGGGTTCTTACCATCAAGATTTAAAGCACTTGATACCCTTGTCACAATTTTACCATTCTACGGGCATCTATCAAGATGTATCTAAACTAAATGATATAGTTAAATTGACTTTTTATTAATATCAACATGTTTTTTACAAGTAGTCAATTACTACAATTAGATTGGTTCTAGGGCCCCTACCCTAATAATCTCCCACTTGCAATATAGCTAATAATTCATGTATTTAATATCAGACGATGTTAAGTGTTTATCATGCTTCTGTTGTGGCAGAGCTTTCGTTAGTGGGTTTGCAACGTTGTCCTCAATAAGGGTGAGCATGAAAATAGGGTAGAACCAGACACGACGTGTACCCAGGGAATCGATTCTGATAGGTTCCAGTTCCCATTTTGTGGAACTGGCCAGTTCTAGTTCCGATAATGCAAGAACCAAGAACCGAAACCGGAACTTGGGTATAGGTTACCCTGCTAGGAATCGGGTTAAACATGAAAATTCTTAAATTATGGGGGTTGTTCTATAATTTTTACTTATACATGTGAAAACAAAAATCAGAAGAGCTAAAACAAAAGTCTTAATCTAGGGTTTGTATTTTGTAATTTCACGAATAGGGGAAGAAGGGGGAAAAAGGTGAAGTTCGCCGATCTTTGAAATCGATTTTCTGGTGGCACTTGCTTCAGTTAGGAGTAGGTTTGTTTCTCATTCGAGTGGTTAGACTTCTGGTTTCGGGATTTTACTGGTTTTTCTTGCCTTAAAATCGAACTAAACCACCAGATCCTTGTAATTTCTCCTTCTATTATCTTATCAACTTCCAGTTCAGCTCATTCAGGTGCTTTCCCTCTCTTTCTTTCGCTTTCCAATGGCATGCATGTGTTAATTTCCTATTTGTTTTTGCCTTTGGTTTGTTTCTAAAGAACCCAGTTGAGATTTAATGTTATTTTGGTGTATTTCACTTGATTATTTGAGGGAGGAATCTAAAATTTCCGCTTTATAATCTGAATCAGTTCCCTTTTTGGTGAATGTTTATGAGAAGCTGACAAAAGAAATGAAATGGGTTTGCTTGAAGCCCGTTGAAATTTTTCTGGTTTGTTAAGCTATTAATCAAAGACATTTGTGTTAAAAAAAAAAAGAAAGGCACTCGCTTGTGTTACGCTTATTCTAATATAGTTCCTGGTATTTAGAAAGAAATTAACAGTCGTTATCAAATTATAAACGGACTGGAATCTCTTAAGGAAAAAGCAGCATTGGGCCATTGCCAAAGCAGGCGCCAATAATATTTATGGTGGCATGCAATTTGTGGATTGGGTGAAACGGAGTGGTGTCTGTAGACAGTAAAACCTACAGATAATTCAGAAGGGATGGATTTTGTGTGAAGCAAGTCACTAATAATCTGATGGACCTATTCAAAGAAGGAAAGAGAACATGAAGGCTTGGGTGATACCAGTGTGATGTCTGCCGTAGACACTCCGACGCTCAAGTCAGCGAGGTTGAAGGTATTTTAATAGGGCTAAGAGCAGGAAGGGTTTACCATAATAATACAACTATAGCTAGACTAAGGCCAAGTGGCCAGAGCAAGGCTTTGCGGTGGTTGAGGGTGGTAAAGTTAGTTGGAACTAAGCTTTACGGCCAGAGGGATGGCAGTTCTTGGGAGTAAAAACTTTGAGAGCTTAAAGCTATGGGTTATTTTTGAATGAATAATGAGAAATCTAGCCTTTGTTTATATAGTGAATCAAAGGGGTTGGAGTCCTAGTAGAACTCTGAGTCCTATTTAGTAGATGAGTCTTAATTAGGAAGGAAATGTTATCACTTGCTTTTATCGGATTAGGGTTACCACTTCGAGTAAGATCTTGGATCTAAACTGAAGTAGAAAGTAAAGAGGATTCTAATTCTTATTCTGGGACTGTTGTGGGGTAATAGTTTGAAACCCGATTTAGCTTAACTTGTAGGATAACCCAAGTCATAAAGTGGTCAGTTCACAAAGTAGATTTAAACGTACGCCCAACCAGAATTGAGCTATGGCACTGAGCCGTAATATGCTTATTTCTTTATTGGACTTCGTCAGGCTCAATATAATTTTTGGCCCATGCAATGTGCAATAGATAAATTACAGAGATTAGTCAAATTTAGCCGAAGCAGCCTCCTGTTTTAGTTTAGCTTAGATGAGAGTTTCTGCAATTATTTCTTTCTAGATTGTATTAGAATAAAGTTGCATTTTCATTTTTCGCATTACTTATAAGTTGTGGTTTGGATGAAGTTGATTAAAAAGTTAGAAAGTCAATTGATTGTTTGTGGAATATCTTATCTTATCCATGCTACTATATAAAGATCATTGCATTTGTCAATTTCAAAAGAGTAATAATTGCATTTGTCAATTTCAAGTAACACTAACCTTACAAAGAGGCATACAAAGAAGCATATAAAGAGACAAATCCAGCCTTAAACTTTCTCTCTTTTTCCCTTCTTTTAAGGACTGGATTTGTCTCTTTGTATGCCTCTTTGTAAGGCTAGTATTACTCATTTCAAAATTCATTCTCCTACATAGATTGTTTTGTTTTAACAATATGATTTCAATTTGGCATATTTGGTTTAAGCCGTTTATGATTGTCATATATAGAATAATTGTATTCAATGTTTTTAACATAATAAATTACTTATCAATTTTCTTATATTTATTTTTGCAGAGTTTAGAGCAGTTCAACAAGGAATATCCATTGGGAATTCTTCCGATATGGAAGCATGAGATGTTGTTATGTTATTTTATATTTTAAAATGTTATGTAATTTTAATTTTAGGAACAACATTTGGAATTGGAACTTGGAACATTTGTTATTTTTACTGCAGACTGGAGTTGTATTCTAGTTTAAAATGTTTGTATTTTTGTAAACAGACGTCATGTGAAAACTCTTAATTTTAATGCAGACCATCACATTCTTGTGGGATCAACTTTTAGGTGTGAGTGCATTGGGTTTTATAAACCATATGATTTGTAAATGTTTTATTGATATATAAATTAATAAATAAAGAAATCAACTTACAAGGGCGTGCCAGTAAGTTAGCTAGTTTGGAAAAAAAAAAGAAATCAAACTCATTAATTACGTGGCATGTATTATATACGAAATGTGAATCATAATTAATTAACCTAGCTCTACAGTTGATTATCTCTCTCGTATTAATTTATAAAGATTCAATTTTATATTGAATGACAAGGATTATTTCTAAAAGTATTATCATATTTTTATCTTAATAAAAGAAATTAATCCATGAAATTGATCGATTGTTGAACAGTTGATATTTTGTAGGTTTTTGCATCCTTTAAAATATTTAAAAGAAAAGTTAAAGAATTTATTAAAATAAAAAATCTCATGATTTGTATTTGGGCCATCTGAAATAAAATAATCAATCATATTTGTATTTTGGTAAACAAATGGGGTTTACTTGTAATTTTTAAAGGTGCTTTTGTCATTTTTTAAACTAATAAGGATCCTTTCGTAATTGTTCTGGATACTAGGAACCGGAACCGGAACCTGTTTCATACTACGAACTAGAACCAACAGGTTCTGATTCCGATTCCATATTTCGGGAACCGGCTAGTTTCGGTTCCTCCAAAAATTCTGGAGTACCCCGACTCGATCAACCCCTATGGGCAATAGCATGATGTTGAACAATGGGATTCTAATGGACAGCAAGAAATTGACTCTACCAAATGATAACATTACTGGTCTAAGCTGTAATGGCCTACATTACTAAAACTTGTTACATTCAAGGATGAAGTTGGTGCGGCCTCTTCTTTATACCACAAAACATGTGGGAGATATTTTTTTTTTTTTTTTTTTTTTAAATGACTGCAATTATGCATAAGTTATTAATTGAGTTAATTTGACTTCATATTATTCCAGAATTTACGGAATAATCAGCTTGTCTACTCTACTAATTGACTAATGAAAGATCCAGCTGATGTTGCACATCATTTTATCTCAAGCTCTCCTTAGGTGGTCTCTTCATATTGACCTGACACCCTTCACAATGGTTGCAAATTGAAGTTGCGCCTGGTTGCAGTTTTGAAATGATAAACTTTCTAATGCCAGAAAAATCGAAATTACAAAATCATAGGCTCGTTCAAAAGAAGGATCTTAAAATGTGAATTAAACTTTGAATTGAAATTATCAGCCAATGTGATACATACAATACTTCTTGACACTCTTCACTTTTGTGACAACACTGTTATAATACTTGCTAATCCTATCCTGTGCAACTTTCATAGCAAAAAAAAAAAAAATGTGACAGAAAAAAATACAAACACTATTAAGCATTGCTAGCTGCTGCATTAGTTCGCCGGACAACCATCAACCATTATGCCTTCAGCTGTTGGACAAGTTGCCAAGTCACAATGTTCACCGGCTGTGCCCCACCAATCCAGACTTCTATTCTCCAGACCTACTGAGAAATACAGTAGCACTGCCATGAACGCCACCCCAGCATCCAGAGCTGCAGAAAGAACATAGTTGTATCTCTGCCACCATTGCTTTCGATACCGGAATATGAAGAAATTGAAAATTGTTCCAACTATGATCCAAGAATTATAGTTAACTGCAGTTGCTGGTGGCATCATTCCTGTTGCTCCCAGAAGGACTGGAAGGTTGATTAGCGGAATCCAGGATTGCTTTGGGAAGGCCTTATGGAATAGCCAAATTATGACTGGTCCTAATGCACCACCAAGGAAGAACCAATTCATGGCTGCATAGTTTCCTAGTGATCCAAAGATGCGTTTGGGTCCTACCAGACCCCATATCACTGATGCATCAAAGAAGACTCTGTCACCGGGGCATGTCCAGGGACTGCCAACAGGAAGGAGATCATCTTGACATATGTTCTCAATGGAGGTCAGCAACCACCATGCCACTGTAAGGTTGATGGTTCCAGCAAGAATTGTTCCAATGAACTATTCATACAAAAAATATAGCAACAGAGAGAAGACATGCATCAGCTTATAAACAAGAAAGGAAAATAAGTGGAAAACTAAGATTAAGTAGATTATTCATATTAGAGTTGATTTATCAACTAAGGCCAATAAATTCTATTGTTACGCTATCCATATGATTTATAGGGTAGAAGTCAAAAAAACTCAAATATTTCACTATGTTCATTCTTTCTTCTAATACAGCTGCTACTATAAAAGTTCATAATTTCGTATTTTCACTTGTTCACAATGGTCTTACATTGTTGTAATATACCAACATCGATGAATAATCATATCTTGTCTCTAATTACAAGTGCTAACATCAAATTCTTTTGCAAGCAGCTGCATGATGCTTCTCTTCAGTAATATTACCATTCGATATGATTTGGGATATGTAGTGCTTGAAAGAAAATTATACTTCTAGTCTATAGGGGATATAAAGTTTCTTGTCAATCATATATTTAAGACTTCATGCTTCCATGAAGATGTTTGTTGGCATATCTTTAGTGTCATGATAATATCTGAATAGATTACTTAATATAGTTTCATCTGCAGTTTATTAGTATTACATATTTAATAGGTAGATAATAAATGTACCTGAACTAAGAACATTGATCTTGGAGGGATCTTCATGTAGTGCCCTAGCTTGAAATCACTGAGGAAGGAGATGGCCTGAGCCATGCTTATATAACCATAAGTCTTGAAGCATACATTAGCAATCGGTTTTCCAGGATATATAATACCCATTACGTACTCGGTAATTATGTTTAACCCTGGTGTCTGTACATGGAGCAACAGAGCATTGATATAAAAAAATGTCACTTCTTTATCAAAAAGGTTGCATAAGTGCTGCCTCAGAATCTCAGATACTAATTACTAACAGTGAAGGAAGCCATGATGACCATCTTCAATCATTAAATTGCAAAACTTATTGGATAGCTTTATTTAAATTGAACTATCAAATTTTAACAGTATCTTGAGCATATGTTAAGAAATCAGTTTCATGGAACAGAACTTGAATGACTAAGTGAGACATAATATTAGCAATAATGTTGATGTTTACACTCTTTAGCAGGTTATGAGGAAACGGTTATAGTTTAACCCAATTACCTGGTTTGTCGTGGCAGTTATGATGCTAATTGGAAGGGTGAAGACAAAGGCCATGGCACTAGCAAAGACGAGTCCCCACCAAGGCATCTGAACTTGATCTTTCAAAATAATGCATAGAACAAGAGCAACAGCAAGTGTCACAACAAGCATTATGTAAAACCACCAGGGAGGTATGTCCTTGTATTTTCTCATCAATCTTGTATGAATATCCTCCTTTCCCTTGGACGAAGCACGATACCGATTATAGATTTCCCTGTTGATCACAGTTGTAAATAAAAATTTGATAACATGAAAAAATTTGACTACAAAATGATGTTTCTAATTGTTCCCTCTGTTTAAAAGAGAGGAGTTGCAATTCATTTGGTCGTAGTACTGTGAATAAATCACACTGCAAAAACCTGAACTAGACTGAAATTAGCACACATGTCAGTAAAATTGGAAGATGAAATGGTTGCAAATAGTGAGTGGCTCATTTTCAATATGGTGCTAAATTGAAAATGTCAACTCTAAATGATAATATTCAGATAAATGTTTCTCAAACATATTTAGAAGTGCAGTAAAAATTTAAATTTAAAAAACAAACAATTAAATAATGAATGAATTTAAGTACAACTCCTACTCTCATTATAAAATATTACCTTCCATAGAAGAGAGCCACATGAGTTAGGGTGGATGCAATGGTGGCAAAACCAAAGCCATAAGTGAGAGCGAAAAACATGCTCAAATTTATTCGTCCTTGCTCCTGGTACTTCACTAGATCTATCTCAAAGTTGTCATTCACAATAGCAGATATGTTGTACTTTTGACCTTCTGCCGTGAACAAATGTGAAGAAAAAATGGGAAATCTATGAGCATTGTACAAGTCCAGGCCCCAGTAAGCTACAGGGATTGCAATGTAAATTATCAGTACATAGCCCAAAAAGACATTGACAATGGCAAAGAAAGGGCTAATAAGGGGGCTGAACAAGAAGGATGCCACAACAGTCCAGTCAAGAGTCAGTGCTCCAAGTCCAAGTCCTCTCATTCCTGATCCAAGTTGCTGAGCCATGACTGACTTCGAGAATACCCAGCAGAGCCATGAAATGCTTGAAAGTGTTGGGAATATGTATCCTGGGACCACATACCATGAAAAACTGCAAATTAGTGCAATGAGGAAGAACTTTGCCTGTGTCATGCGTTGCTCATCTTTCTCATGCAAAGCCCTGCAAAATGATATTAGACAGTGACCTATATATTAATAAAACAAATACTTGGGTTTTTGTAGACATTAGTTGAGTTATAGGAGCTGAGCAGCAAGGACTTACTAATCTTTTCTATAATTTTGAAATTTGTGAAATGGAATGTTAAGATACAGGAGATCCTAGATGAGAAATCATGTTACTTGGAGCTGATTAACAAGAAAACTTTAGATGGTTTAGTTTAGTCATGTTATTCTGAAACTAATGACTATAGCATTTAGGAGATACAAGTTAACTGTTAGGTTTTATTGAAGTTGAGATGAAGCAAAAAATTAGATAGATACAGCATACTAGATATTAATAACAGCACCAGTTAGGAGTGGCGAGAGTTTCACAGGATAGTATGGAGGCTTAAAAGATTAATCAACAACCAAATTAATGTGTTATCCCACCAAAGTCAAATAGGTTCACTTTTATTTGTTATTCTGTTTCTGAAGCTCCTCTAGAATTAGTGTGGTAAATAAATCAACACATACTTAAGCTTTCAAATACAAGATACCATGCAAATAATCAATAATATCCATAAAAAAATTCTGCTTATTTCAAATATATGAACCATAAACAAGATCATCATCATTATAATATAAAGGAAATGAACTATAAGCTAATGGTACTTCAAAAATTAGATAATTTTCTTTTGATATGACCATCATGTAAATGCCAGCCCTCTGTCTGACTCTTAGGAACTGGTGATCAATTCTAAGGGTAGCATCACACATCACTTCAGGGATAGCTATCTAAGTTATTTTAGCTGATGATCTACTGTGTTGCTTTTCATTTATACATCTAGGTTTAGTTTTTGCATATTTTAGGACTATCAAATGTATGCATACCATTATGTCCATGAAAAAACCATCGCCCAGATGCACTTATCAAACTCAAATCTTTCACCATTACTCTTAATCCAACTATCAGAAAAGTTGAAACTTCTGGTGGAGAGACAGTGGAGTTAATTCAACTAGTGGGGTTATCATAAAATCATCTTTATCTTCTTCTTTATCCTCAATTATTAATTTCAGATTCAGATATCACAGAGACAAGGTCCACCACAAGTGAAAGTGATGAAATTATGTCTTGCGGAAATTAAGTTCCATTCACATTTTCTACCAAAAAGAGTCCACCAACAAACTATTTATTTAGTCCCTTTCGCAGATCCCTACCACAAATTAGCGAAGACAAGACATTTACTAACCAAAGTTTGTGATTGTGGTTATAGTCACATTCAAGCAGCATGGAGGTGCAAAAATAAATTATGGTTGCTTAGACTTATAAATGATCAACTAGCCTGTTAAAGATTAACATGTAGGATAACTTTTAACATTGTTTTGTACGAGATTTAATTGGGATAGTCAATTCAACCTATAATTACAAATGAGCTTCAACTGATGCAAAATGCAATAAATATTCTTGACACCGGAAGGCAACCTTAACTTAAGGGGGCTGCATATGCAGAATTCGTGAGTGTATCCCCATTTATATTCTTACTATTTATTTACATAAATCAAATTCTACTCTACTAGTCTTAGACCATCTTCAACAATTTGTCTCTTTCCTCAAAGTCTAACCCAGAAAAGAAAAAAAAATACAGTATATATAATTCAAAGAAGTGAGCTGCAACTGGACAATAAATAGAATTTTTTGTTGGTATTAGTTCTACCCATCTCAAAAATATCTTCGATACCTATTATTTATGAAATGATAATGAAGATTAGTTGACACCACACATCACTGCAAATGCACTTTTGGAGCATCTTTTTTAAAGAACAAAATTACTCTTTTAAATATTTTTTTCCATAGAATAGAATAACTCAAATAATTCCCTCTAATTGATATCATACGCATATACCCTACAAGATTAGGTAAGCACTCAAATTTCGAAATAAAATCTCATCACATTCTTTTAATTTTAAACAAAATTTTCAGAATAAAAACAAGATTTTTAATAAATATTAAAATGAGACCAAATGGAAAGAGTGAGTGAGCGACTGAGTTCCGGCGAGTCACGGCAGCGGACGTACCTGAAAAGTGAGACCTGAACGAGAGTGCCGGGCCACCACATATGAGCTGGCTCCACCACATACTTTCTCAGCAGCCCAGCCCATCCATATCCCAGCACCTAATTTTCAAAAAAAAAGAAAAAAAAAAAACATTTTTCAAAACATTAAAAACAAAAACATGTTTTCCCTTCCTAGTTCCCAACGAGATGTTTTCTAAACCACCGAAAACAAACCAAAGTTTCAGGTTTCTTCCATAATAAAAAGAAAGCAAGCAAGCCAATTTCACTCTGTCATTTCCAAGAACACGTTTCTTCAATTTGAATCCATAATTAAAAAACAAAACCCCCTTACAATTTACTTAACAAAACAACAAAAACACTTTCAGAAAACCAAAAAAATTACCTGAGTAGTGATAATAAGCAACCAACTCGCTAAGAAAGAAATCTTCCTCCGATAAAACGCCTTGATAATATTAACAATCCCCACTGCATAAGCCGACCCGCTTCCAAAAGCACTTCCAGCATTAGCAAAAATAGAAATAAGTACGTGCTCTTTCATGTTAAACGGACCCGGGTTAAGCGAGAACACCTTCGACCCGAATCCGGGAATCCCAAACTGGGTCTTGGGCAACACCGCAGCCAAGAAATGACCGATGGGCAGCGTGGCCACTTGGACTGTGATTTGAGTTATGACAAGAGGCTCAGTTCGGTAAGCAAAAAACTGGTTTAAAAACGAGAGAAGAGCGCATGAGAGAAGGCCTAGGAACCACATCCGAAAGGTCCAAACGGGTAGTGTCGGATCGTCGGTGTTGGTGACGGTTAACCGAACCTCTTCGATAGGGGAGAGGTCGTCGTCATCGACGGCGGAGGTGGACTTTTCGGGGTCTTTAGGCGTTTGAATTTCTAAAGAGCCCATGGGGTTGGGGTTGGGGTTGGGGTTGGGGTTGGGGTTGGGGTTGAATGGTGTGGGCCTGTGGGGAGAACGGGGAGCTTAAAATGGTATTTATTATTGCATTTTGGTGAGCTATGCTGAGTTGAGTAATAATTACTTTCTGTAGCTGGTTTTTGTAATTTAACTAACAAGTTGCCAAGCGAGAAGAGAAGAGAAGAGAACCCTTTAGTTGACGCTAAAATCACGCTCACTTGTTCTAACGTTAAAAAATTTTCATAGTAAACACGAGTAATCGTAGATTCGTAATTTCACTATAACGAGTGAATCTTTTATATTTATTAACAAGCGCATCTCAGAACCTTCGCTCACAAACCACACACATGACAACTGAGTTGGCAATTCCCATTAAAGTGATTGCAAAACAATTTCGATTAGATTTAAGAAACGGTCGTTTTTTGGATAAGTAATGACCCTTTTTAGGATGGAACGGTCGTTCCTTTTTCATATGGAACAGTTATTCTTCATTCGAAGAATAGTAATTCCTCATCCAAAAAACGGTCATCCCCTATACAAGAACAGTTGTTCTTTATGAATAAACGATCATTCCTCTCTAAGAAACGACCGTTCATGTCTTGTAAAAGTCATGATTTAACATGGTAAAACCAATTCAATGTCGCGTTATGAGAGAAATTTGTGAAATCTGTTTGTCAGTATAGTATTACTCTAAAGATATTTATGGATTATTCTTAACTCAGTTTAGAAAAGATAAAATTTAAATTGTGAAATTACTTGAAACCCCCAAGTATAGCGGAATTGATTGGGGATATTGCTAAAAACTTAGGGATGCAAGTAATTTCAATTTTTGAAGCTCATGTGAGTGCCCATGACTTTATCCTATAAAATTCTATCGACACTATCACTATGATATTATATTATGTAGCATATGCATGTTGACATTATCTATATATTAAAAGTTTCAAAGATGCCATTAACGGTGAAGTTAATGACTAGTTGTATTTTATTAATTTTTAAACATTTATTATTTGGTTGTTTTAGCTAAATTCTCGTATGTATGGGATTAAAAGAATGTTTTAAATAATAATAATAATATTAAAAAGGAAGGACAATGTTGTGTGTGATTTTTCCGCCAAGCTCGAGCTAACTTGAGGATACAGCTCGATCCAGAATGAGTTTGACAACTATGATTGATCGACCCAACATAAGCTCATCGAGCTATAGCTCGACCCAACATAGATTAGTCGCGAACAATTCAATGAATCATTCAATGAATCCCCATATTACTTCAGATCCTAGATATTGCGGAATGACTGGATCAACAGTAATCACTGCTCAATCACAACGCCTAGTCGCGAGGATATCGGAATTATGATTCGAATATGTTGTAATCCCCTAAATTTCATTTTTTTTCCTTTGTACCAATCTTATGAATTTCAGATAAAAATCGCATTGTAAACTGTTATAGCAAATACAAAAAACACAGTGGACGTAGGCTGTTAACCTGGCCGAACCACTTTAAAAATCTCTTTGTTCTTAGTTCATTTCATTCATATTCATCGCTGATTTTCACTAATCATACACACATCGGTTCTGATCTGAGCAAAATCGATCGGATCACGCTGATTGATGTAGAATTTTGTATCAATAGGCAATCCGGTAAAAACCCCTCTGATAATATTTTATTTCTCCAATTAAACATATTAATTATTTATATTCACCAATCTAATCAAACATATTAATATAACATTCACTTATTAATCTTTAANGGGGAGCTTAAAATGGTATTTATTATTGCATTTTGGTGAGCTATGCTGAGTTGAGTAATAATTACTTTCTGTAGCTGGTTTTTGTAATTTAACTAACAAGTTGCCAAGCGAGAAGAGAAGAGAAGAGAACCCTTTAGTTGACGCTAAAATCACGCTCACTTGTTCTAACGTTAATAAATTTTCATAGTAAACACGAGTAATCGTAGATTCGTAATTTCACTATAACGAGTGAATCTTTTATATTTATTAACAAGCGCATCTCAGAACCTTCGCTCACAAACCACACACATGACAACTGAGTTGGCAATTCCCATTAAAGTGATTGCAAAACAATTTCGATTAGATTTAAGAAACGGTCGTTTTTTGGATAAGTAATGACCCTTTTTAGGATGGAACGGTCGTTCCTTTTTCATATGGAACAGTTATTCTTCATTCGAAGAATAGTAATTCCTCATCCAAAAAACGGTCATCCCCTATACAAGAACAGTTGTTCTTTATGAATAAACGATCATTCCTTTCTAAGAAACGACCGTTCATATCTTGTAAAAGTCATGATTTAATGTGGTAAAACCAACTCAATGTCGCGTTTATGAGAGAAATTTATGAAATTCGTTTGTCAGTATAGTATTACTCTAAAGATATTTATGGATTATTCTTAGCTCAGTTTAGAAAAGATAAAATTTAAATTGTGAAATTACTTAAAACCCCCAAGTATAGCGGAATTGATTGGGGATATTGCTAAAAACTTAGGGATGCAAGTAATTTCAATTTTTGAAGCTCATGTGAGTGCCCATGACTTTATCCTATAAAATTCTATCGACACTATCACTATGATATTATATTATGTAGCATATGCATGTTGACATTATCTATATATTAAAAGTTTCAAAGATGCCATTAACGGTGATGTTCATGACTAGTTGTATTTTATTAATTTTTAAACATTTATTATTTGGTTGTTTTAGCTAAATTCTCGTATGTATGGGATTAAAAGAATGTTTTAAATAATAATAATAATATTAAAAAGGAAGGACAATGTTGTGTGTGATTTTTCCGCCAAGCTCGAGCTAACTTGAGGATACAGCTCGATCCAGAATGAGTTTGACAACTATGATTGATCGACCCAACATAAGCTCATCGAGCTATAGCTCGACCCAACATAGATTAGTCGCGAACAATTCAATGAATCATTCAATGAATCCCCATATTACTTCAGATCCTAGATATTGCGGAATGACTGGATCAACAGTAATCACTGCTCAATCACAACGCCTAGTCGCGAGGATATCGGAATTATGATTCGAATATGTTGTAATCCCCTAAATTTCATTTTTTTTCCTTTGTACCAATCTTATGAATTTCAGATAAAAATCGCATTGTAAACTGTTATAGCAAATACAAAAAACACAGTGGACGTAGGCTGTTAACCTGGCCGAACCACTTTAAAAATCTCTTTGTTCTTAGTTCATTTCATTCATATTCATCGCTGATTTTCACTAATCATACACACATCGGTTCTGATCTGAGCAAAATCGATCGGATCACGCTGATTGATGTAGAATTTTGTATCAATAGGCAATCCGGTAAAAACCCCTCTGATAATATTTTATTTCTCCAATTAAACATATTAATTATTTATATTCACCAATCTAATCAAACATATTAATATAACATTCACTTATTAATCTTTAAAGTAATTTATCTCAGTAGTAATTCTATATTTTCAATAATAAAAAATTGTCCATTATTTTTATTTATTTATTTATGAAATAACTTGCATGATATTTGTGAATTCTACATGCGGGTTAGCCTACCATGTTGGAATTTATTGGATAAACGCGGGTTAGTCTTACTTTGTGGCTGGTTTTGGACCACTGGGGATAAGGCGTGAATGGAATAGTGGCCTTGTGGGTGAGGGTGGAATCTTTGAAAATAATGAATTAATAAGCATTAAATATTATCGAGAGAGAGAGAAGTCTCAATTTCCGTCCATATATGTTTACAAAATTGTTGACAATAGATTTGGAATTTGACGGGCGATTAGTTTGAATCTAGGATAGATTCCGTCAGACTATTATAAAGAAAAAAGAAAACATCAATCACACTTTTATATTTACACATATTCATCAGACAGATTGATTCAGTTTTCAAAAAAACAAAAAAATATTAAACGCCACCTTAGTTAAATTTAGAATACAAGTACAAATAAAAAGAGAAAAAAAAACTATATATTATTTGGGGAAACATACTTGGGGTTGAAATTATATACAGTATGTAAGAGACTGGGTTATTCAATTTAAACACAAATATAGGAGAGTTTGATTTGCGATCCTTGTTGTTTATTTAAAAGTACAATAAATTATGTATAAATTTTTTATACAAACTTTAAAAAGATAATGGGTTGCCTTTAAGTTAAAAATAAATAAAAAAAGCGACACATCAAAGATACAAGATTAATAAATCAATTTATAAGAAACAAACAGTGTGTTTGACCTTTTTATGGAGGGCACAAGTTGATTTTCGAAGTGAGATCCTAACCCTTGTATGTTTGGCTTTTTTTTTTTTTTGGGGGGTAATGAGCATCCCTTGGTTTAAAAATGCTCTAAAAAATATATTTGATTTATTGATTGAATTTAAATGATTTGTAAAAACCAATTTCTTTAAACTTAAATAGAATGTCATAACGGTCCATAATGAGTTAGGGTCATATTTCCGAAATCAGTGAATATTCATTATAAAAAAATTAAACACATGAGATAAAAATGGTATATCTGAAACTAACATGTTCTCGCTTTAAAAAGACCAAACACAGGGTTTTATTAAAAAACAAAATTAAAAAGCCTTACTGAGTAAGATATAAACGCAATTGGTGGAAAAATAAGAATAATTGAATGACAGCTTAAACATCACATGTCAGGTTGACGAGAAACAGCAATCGATAACAATGGGCTGAGATTGAGACGTGAGAAGAAGCAAGCAACTCTTTCTAAAACGCCAAAATCTTGCCAACTTAGACAATCAAATTCATAAAAATAAAACATTAAGGGATTTACAATTAATGTGGTGGTCCAGTTGTATTACATTTCTTCATCGTAAATAAAGGGTGACAACATTGTATTATCTATCCACAGATTAATTTCTTGTTTATAGTCAACCTGGAAAATTGGAGTGTAAGTAAGTAATATATAATATTATCTTTCAATTTAATTACCAAATCATACTTACTCAACATACATATACATATTTGTGTCTCAAATTTTTCTTTTTCTTGAAAAAATGTTTATATTATGGATAAGTTATTAAAACACAAATTGATGATTGTATATTATATGCCCTAAATTGAATACAAAGATTGACGAGTGTATGATCTATCAGGAGCAATTTT